TCAATTTGAACCTTGGCCAAGTCTTTAACCCTTTGAATTATCTGAGAATACGGAAGCCCTGCCTTGTGGGTACAGCCCCAAGGCAGATAACAGGAAAGCTCTTCATTTATAAATACAAAGCTTAACCTGTGTTCTCATATTTAAATCAACAAAGCTAGAAAATATTTTAAGACATGCTGAAATAGGGGTTCCTTAAAGCCTCAGCATTGATACTTTTTTCTTACATTCACGATTAAGTTAAAACAGTGTTACAAACCATTTATTGTCATTGTCTTCAAAGCGAAAGTTCAACATTGTGGGGTTTTTTTTAAGTTTTAAAAAAGCTACATACCAGCCTGGTTTTGATGCTGTGACAGCAATAAAAAAAGGAATGAGAAGATTGAAAAAAGAGCAGCCAGGAACTAATGAGCTTTACATAAATATATGCTGAAGCAATTAAGCAGTGTTAATTACTATGACAGCAGTTAATTGAATATAATTAGATATTTTAAGCCACTGACTAAGGCACAGTTAAGATTAATTTTATTGAGATTAATTGTAAATAAGAATAGATTAACTGTGTTTTGACAGGCAAGCAATAGAACAGGAATCAGCACAGACCCCAAAAATCATATATTATTTTAATGTCACGCCTCAGAATCATCTCCTCAATAAACATGACTTTTCAAACCCAAACAGACAGGAATCTTGACGAAAAACAAACAGCTTGCAGAGATTAAAGAGTCTTTTGTCTTTTTACATGTACATTTCTTTTAGCAGACTAAATTAAGCAAGTCTGGTGTACATTTTTAGGAAGGAACATTTCACACTGAATGTAAAACTGTTCTATCACATACAAAATCCATGCAGCTGTGCGGAAAATGGTCCAGATGGCATAAGCCTATAAAACACCATCAAATGAGAGACAGTAGGGCCTTCCCAAAATGATAAAGTCACAATTGATAAGTGACCTACATTCTCTGATATGTATTGTTTCCTCCTTGATCTAGGATCTTCACATTATAATTAACCATGAATATTCAGACCACCACACTTTTAGAAGTACTAGCAATGCACATCCACCTTAAAAGAATAAAACCTTAATAACCCTCCATTCATATATGACTCAACCAACATCACTCAACAGTAGACTTTTACACCACTTACATTAATTTGGTGGAAATGTTTATTTTTAGATAGTCTTCAAATACAACCTCAAACACACTCACTATAATAAATCCTGCATGCTTTTTAATAAAAATCACCAAAAAAATCCTGATATATCACTAACAGGCTCACCTGATTACAAAATAAATCAATAGGTGATTAATACAATATTTTAAAGCAATACAATGTATATAGTATGTATATAGTGTGTATATTCAATACCTTTCAGCTCTAAATTGAAAAAGGCTTTACAGTATTGCGCATGCCCCTACATTGACTACCAACTTCTTTGCAATGCCTTTCGTCTTTTAGAATGAAAATCCAAAAATGGTCTGTGAAACAAGGCTACAACAAGCCATTCTGCAGTGAAAGATTTTAAATCATCCAGCCTCTTCTAATAGACTTGAGACTTATTGAGGTAGAAACCATAAAAAATGAAGAAGGGAAATTTAATCCCTGAAATATTGATTTGCACATTAATATCATATAGGCAGAGGGCAATTTGGCTTCATGGAAATGACACATTGTCGACCCTTGGTGAAGTCAGAGCCAATCTAACTGCTGAACATGTCTGAATCTCAAGAGTTATTAAGGGCTTCCCTTCTTGCCTATATGACTTTTCTCCAGCCTACCAATGCAATCTTAAATGTATTATCTTTAAGAAATAATTGTAAAACCTCAGGGGTTTTCCAGTTAATGGAAGGAAGGCTAAACCACATCAGATTCTGAAATGCAACATTAAACCCTTGCAATCAACAAAACCACCTCAATTCTCATCCATCCAGTGCAGGATCTAATACTGTTATTAGAGATAATCAAATTTCATTGTGTAAATTTAGGCTCATGGTCAGAATGGAAGCAGTAAATTCTGCAATATTAAACACTGATTTTTCTCAGCACTTCTTTTCACAGTCTCTGCTGGTGAACAAGAAAATCTTTGGCTTTATTCTTTAAAAGAAACACAACCTCACGTCAGTGCTAAAAGATACAAGGAATACACATCTATTTCCCTGTCCTCTACATTTTTGAAAACAAGCTAGTATCATTCAAAATCCCACCAAGCAGGTACTACCTACTACTATCAGTGACTTATACAGATGGTTTACTTGACCTTTCTTTGTTCTTTGAGTAGATTTCACTTTTGAAGATTTATGACTATTTCCCTGTCTTTAATTGACCCTATATGTTCATTACCATAAAAACGAAAACAACTGATACATGTTTAGGTTGCAGAAACCCTTCAAAGCTCAAGGCATTGCCTACAGGATGCTACAGCCACAGTGTGTGGATCCTACTGTATGAATATTCAGCCAGGCTCACTGAATAATCCAAGTGAGCCCCAGCACTCAAGCCAGGTGCAAGAGGTTAAAACAGCTGGCTAGCCATCTTTCATTTTGGTATGTCTTCCTGCCGCTTGAAACAGCAAGCCTAGAAAACTTGCAGATATTGCCCACCACCACCACAACTGCTTTATTGTATTTTTTTGTCCTGGTGTTGTTGTTGTTTTTAAAATAAGGATTTTTATTATTATTATTGCAGTTGCTACAATTTTAATCTATTTTGTAGAAGACCATTATCAGAAGAGAAAGAAATTGTTTCAAAGTAACAAGCTGAATAGGAAATGGGAACAATAAGAATTAAAAGGTCTTTTCTCTTCCAACCTTTATTTTAACAGTCTTTTCCACTGCCCCCCTCCCTTCCCATCTAGGCTTTAAAAAGCAAAGTCCCTTCTCCCTTGCCTTGTTCTGTCAGTTTTGTCAGTAAATAGAAAGTAAAACAAGGGTTGATGGCACTGAGAGTGTTACATACCCAGACTGTGTTTTTGCATTGCTCTCAATGGAAGCGATCGATGCCCATGTCACAGTGGTGTCCCAATCGCAGCCAAGTCTCTGCCTCAATCTAACCAACAACAGGCAGGGCTTCCAAGGCTGCTGCTCACTACCTCTTCCTTCCATCCATCCACTTAGACATCCACCAAACTCTCAAAGACAGAATAAACTACATCTGCTCTTCAACCACCGCTCCTAAGGATCGAGCCACTGGAAATCCTTCCAAAGGGGAATCACAATTGCAAATATGAATATAGGAGATATTTATCCACCTTCAACATCATCAACCCTCTCCTTTTTTTTTTCCTCTCTCTCTCCCTGTCCTTTGCCAGCTACCTGATCCTTGATTAAAAATGGAACAGGGTTAATAATAATACGGGAGGAAAAAAAAGACGATCTGAATGGAGGAGAGGAAATGCAACTGTCAGATAGAGGGATAGTCAGACTTCCTGGGTGACCCTGGCGGGGTCTGGCTCAATGTAAATCCACCATCTTCAGCCTGGCAAGTTGTCTTTGGGTTGAGAGGCAAGAAGAGGAGGAGGAGGAGGAGGAGGAGAACGGGGGAGGAGGAGGAGGGTGTGTGTTATTGAATGGGAGCGAAAAAGCCTCCTCGGGACGGCGCGGAGGCTGAACCCGGCTTGCTGAGCCTCCTCTCTCGGCTGGGCCCAGTGCCCCGAGCAGCCGAGGAGACGGAGACCCCCCTCCCCCTCCGGCCGGCAGGTAACAAAAGAAAAAAATATAAGTGTGTGTTTGGGGGGTGAGGGGTAGGGCTGGACCGCAGACGGGGGGGGGGCAGGTAGGGGGGCTGGAGCCGTAAGGGGGCATCGGCTGGGGCAAAGTTTCCAATCCCCCCGCCACCCCATGACTACAGGCGACTCGAAGCTCGGGGAGGCCGGCGGGAGAGGCAGGCAGGCAGGCAGGCAGGGGCGCGCCCGCCCCCGGCTGCC